AACCTTAAACCTGAAACCCCAAACCCCAAACCTAACCCTAAACCCCCATCGCCAAGGCTTCTGCAACTTCCTGCGCCTCTTTCAATCGGCCCTGGCCGCTCCGGAAGATGAAAGGTTTAGGTTTAAGGTTTAGGGTTTAGGGGTTGGGGGTCAGGGTTTAGGGTTAAGAGCTTAAGTCATTGGCCTTTGGGCTTATGCGGCTCTGGGGGTGTGGGGTTACAGGTTTTGCGTCAAGGGTTCACGGAACTCCAAAATTAGGCCGCCCTACTCAAAAAATAGTTCTTCAGAGCTGCTAGCACCAACTAACGCCCAAGCCCACGGGATTTCTGACTTCCAGGGGGCGGCTCAGGGCATATAGGGCTTCGAACTATCGACATCTAAAAAGAAGGAACAGAGTCAAAAGAAGGAACATAGCCACAAGGCCATCCGCTGGAATCTTTCAAACGTTACGCTGAGTTCGATATGGCAGGGCTTGCCACCCGGATTCCAAAGCGCAGTTCCCAGAACCTAAGCTGCGTATCCCTAACCCCAAACGCTGAGACCTCAATGATCGTCCCACTGATTTGAAGGTCAAACTCATTACATTTCGGGTTGGATGAACCCGGGTGCAAACCCAGGTTCAAACCTGGGTTGAACCTGAAAATAATCTCGGGTTGAACCCCGGGTTCAACTCGCAAAGGAAAGACAAAGGCTTTGGTCACAGAGGCAGAAACGGCAAATTTCTCTCGAAGTACCGTTCACATACGGATCATGAAGGGAACCCTCGACGAATAAGCACCACAGAAACCCCGGCTTCCGAACAATCTAGTTCTGCGCTTGCAAGTACATCGCCAAACCCCTCAGGCCAAAACCCCCAAGTTCATGCAGGGGTCTGATTTCTAGCGCTCTGGGTATGGATCCTGCTCTGAGTGGCTTCTTGTAGAATAATTTCAACATGGAGCCATCATGGAGCCCAAGGGGAACAAGCCACAGCCCCCACGCGCTGTCTTTCTAAAAGAGAGCTCTCGGTTGATCCGGTTTCGGGAGAGACCCGTCAAAGGCGGAACCTAGCGTTCCTGCCTTCGCAGGTTGTGTTCATAGCCTGAAGCGCCTTTAAAAAGAAAAGCATCCGCAGCGTCTGATCCGGGATAGTCCGGCAAGGGTGTGAGGATGGCCCTGTGTGCACTATCATTTTGAACATAGCATCCCATCCTGTTCTTTCGTAACATTGCTTGAAAGCCTTGAACCTTCGGTTTCCGCAGATGATGTAGAGCTTGCCACTCCATTCCATCGCAACCAAGGCGGGTATTTCATAGCTGCTGGCTTCCCTGCAGAGCAGTTGCTGCACCGTGGCTTCGACAGGCTGCCCCCGATGTGCTCCATGAAGGAAGACATCGCTCACCTCATCGTGCGAAAAGCGGATGCGCGGATCACTGGTATAGTACCAATCCAAGCACTCCGCATAGTCGCGCTCTGCCTCTGGATTTCTTGAAGGATCCAACCGCCACAAAGAGTGCAGTTCTCCCTTCAGAATGTCCTTCAGAAGCAGCTTCTGTAGTGGGGTGCATGCGTCAGGGCTATCTGTAGCATTGTTCCGCGAAATCGCTTTGTCGACCGCTTGCTGCAGGTCCGGGGTAATCGCCGACCTGGGGATTATTAGAACCAAGGTTGCTCTCAAGTGAGATTCGAGAAGTAACAGCCGCACCGCTCCTTCTGAAACCCAAAACAGCCCCAGCCCCAACCCTGAAACCTACAGCCTGGAGCCCTAAAGAAGTGTCCGTCCAGAGACAAATCCCACCTCCTGAGTTCTTTCAGCTCCGAACA